GGATAGAAAAGAGAGGGGGCAAAATAAAAAAAAGGAAAAAAGGGGACAAAAAAATGGCAATGCTTATACGTACGGAAATGGATTCACGACCAGCCCCCTGATAGGTGGCAGGATCTAGCCGATGCCAACCCAGGAGGAAATCCTTGACGTGAGGTCGAGTGGCGTCCACAATGCGAAAACCGGTGATGTTGATGGCACCGTACTCGATCACTTCGCTTTCCCATCGATCGTCCATTATCTGATTACACGAGAGGAACAGAGAGAGAGAGAGAGAGAGAGAGAGAGAGAGAGAGAGAGAAAGGAGGGAAAAGAGAACTAAACAACTTGAAATAAAGATATAAAGAAATAGAAAGAAACTCTGGGCTAAGAAAAAATAATGTTGTCCGATACTATTACTTTTAATACTCGTTTGAATTAAAAACCAAAAAAATTTTACTGAAAAATACTTCTGTACTGAATAAAACAAAACACGTTAATTTTTATCCCGAATCTTTTTCTTACTGTTGTAATAATAGTAGCCTTGTGTTTAACTATGGGGATAGAAGAAGGGGGATGAATTTTTGAACTTATATAATTATATAAGTATATATATAATAATATTATATATTATTAATTATATATTATATTATAAATATATATTAATTATAATATTAATATTATATATATATATAATATATATTGAATAGTTTTTGTATGTGTGTGTGCTTTTTCTGTATATTAATATATTTCATTGTCAAGTAATTTAGCAATAGCATAACGGATAATGTGAAAAAGTAAATGAATATAATGTGTGTAGAAATATATATATAGAATCGTTATGAATTGATATTTTGGTGATATTATAGAGAAGATCGATATATGTGTTAGGTGTTTAACGATGCTCGTAGTAGGGTTAGTAAACGTCTGTTGAACGAGGGTTAAGGTGAATGACGATGGTAGAGAGTCTAGGAGTAGAAGAGAAGGAGGCAAAACTAGATATATACGGACAAGTGTATTGCCGGTATCTCGAGCGTGGTACAGAACGTAATGGCTCTTGCTCCTTGTAACTTGCTTCAAACCGCTAAACAGAACCTAAACTGCCTCCCTAAATCGTACACGCGAAACTACGGATTCTACGTAGGTACGTGCGGAGCTTCGCATTGAGGAGAAACTTCAAGGATATCGGATGAATTTGAGTGATTACTGTATTCTATGAATAGAAAATGGTCTCCTATATTAAACGTTGTTCTCTCTATCAAATATAATAATAATAATTTACTTATATCTATTATTCTATGTTACACACAATATATTTTTAATCATTATTTTGATAAATCCAAGAAAAATTAATATTCATTCATATATTCGTATGTGTTATATAGATATTATAAAAAAAAAAGAAAAGTGAGATGTGACTGATTTTGATTATGTTAGTGTATGTTTAAGAATTTATTATTACGCGTGTTTTAGATTACAGGTGATATGAGGTAATTAATGACACTTTATTGTATGAAGTTTGACAAGGAATTTGTTTTAAAGTGTATCGTTTTTTACAATACGTTCTTTTATCATTTGATTCCATTCAATATACGAATACGTGTGACGTTTTATTTGTTACCAAGGTAATTGGAAAATAATGATACAGGTGTTAAATAAAGAAACTAGAGAAACAGGTCGATATTATTGTAAACGTGTTCGTAGTTAAATGTGAATTAAAAACGTGTAAGATCTCAAGGATAGACAAGAGGTAAGTATTTGTCTGCAATTATTCTTTGATGAATAATCATAACGCGTTGGTGTTGTATATAAGTGTAACGTGATTTATCGATTTTACGATTGAACGATCACATTTATATATGATCATTCAAATATATTAATCCCGAGAAATAAGACAAATTATTGAGAAAAGAAAAAAAGAAAAAAAGAAAAAAAGAAAATAATAAAAAAAAAAGAAACCGAAGAGAGACAAAAAAAAAAAAAAAAAAAAAGAAAAATAGAGAAACAAAGAAAAATCGTTTTCTAATAAAAAGTGTAAGATCAAAAGATATTACTTAAAGCTATAATATCGTAATTCGTGAATTTCCGTGTAATTCTAAACTTACCAGTCCACTTAATAAATAATGATACGTTCTTCTTCCAAGCGTGACGTCTCGAACGTGACTCACCACGATATCCTTGGCCATGTCTGTCGGACAATCCAATACCACGTATTTGTTGCTCCATCTGAAATAAATAGATCGTAAACTAAAAATCCGTATTATATCTGTGTCATCATCATCATATTTATTATTTTTTTTTTGGTTTTAATATCTTTTTTCTTTTTTTCCAATTCTTACGATATAATACAATAATTATATCAATTTACATCGTTACGCGTTTCACTAGTTTCATCATTATTATTAATATTATTACATTGAATCTAACTCCTGGCGGGGTGATGATTATTAACGATCAATTACACCAAATGAATACTATTAAATCAAATTGTTGAAATTGTTTAAAAGGAACTATGTATAATGAAGTACCGGTACTACTATCATCATCATCATCATCATCATCATCATCATCGATGAGTGTATATTACAACGTGGTATTTAAACGTGCGAATATTGACAGGAATAAAATGACTTTTTATTCGGATTAGAGAACTATCACACTATGGGGGTTTATCTCAATTGATCGAATAGAGAGAGAAAGAGGAATAGAAATAGAAACATGGTAAAATGGATATATTAAACGAATGGATATCAATAGAAGGGATACTTATCGATCGATATCGATTATTTCTAAACGCACCTGCATTATGCTTATTTTCGTTAAGTGTCACGTATGCTCGATTTGAATTCCCAGTTACGGTCACTCGTTGATTACCTGCATCGCGTAAATGGAGCACGCAAACCGCAAATGCGTAGTCGGTAGTAAATTGTGGGACGGACGCGTGATAGTCGTTCGACAAAACGTAACGGACGCGTTACGTTAGAGAACGTAACGGGTTTTGTACGGTTGCGAAACCTCCACCGAATTTACACCAATCCGAAAATAATAGTATCGATCGATGCTTACCTTTACAGGAATCCCCATTTAAATACAACCCAAATAGTATTGAACATTTATCATTATGAAACACACTGACGTTAATCTTAGTGATATTCTGACGCATACGATAAAATATTTATAATCATTTTAAGATTCTAGTAGTTTATAGATATATTATTCAAAAAAAAGAAAAAAAATACAATTTATATAAACATTTATACGATTATTATCTTAAATGTAATCGTGATGATCAATTCTTGGTAAAACTTTGACGTATCAGAAAGTAATAATTGTCAATAAAAATATATAAATAATAAGTTAGTTTGATCAGGATAACATTTATGTTAATATAATGAAATTCTGATTCATCCGAAAATAATAGTTTCGCGGTAATCTAGAGAAATTGTGTGCTTGAAAAATATAATTTATAGAGATTTAAGATTATCTTTATGCAATATACTAATAAATTCTTGATTTAACTATGACGCGTTAGTGAATAATAAATATAAATATGTTAGTTCATTTAATCACCACGACATTGACGTTAAAATAATTAAAATTCTGACGCATTAGAAAATTATAGTTTCGTGGTAAATCTGAAAGAATTGTGTTAAAGTAAATCAAAATAATTGTTAGGTATATTACTCTAACGAAACTCAGGCTCATTTGAAAATTATAGTTTGGATGATCATAAATTTGATGTGATTTCATAAAAATAACAAAAAAATAAAAATACGTATTACGAGATAGATGTGAATCACGTTTACCGATTAAGTTCTTCGAGACTACGAAGAAAATCGATCGCCTCGGACATGTTTTGTATCCTCTTGACGGTTTCCACTTGAAAAGACTCGTTTCCAGGCTTCAGCGTTTGATAAATTTGCTGCAACCTTAGAAGACCTGAAAAGAAATAAAAACAACAAAAGAATATATGAAACAATACACAAACGTGTTATATTATACACATTGGTGAAAACAAACTTTATGTTGATAATATTTTTGTTCGAAATATCTTGATGAGCTTGAAAATTATTTATACAAACACACATCCCCTCGAATTAATATTTAATTTTCTAATTAATTGCGTTCGCCAAAATACATCTACCGTTTATTTTGGGTCTCCTTTGATAGGTCGATCATATTTGTTAACAAACAACAAATTCGTTTGGACAATCATTTGTTTTCTAACAAATATTTAGATCGAATATTTATTCAAGAAAATATCTATAATAAAATAAATAAATAATAGTAAAAAAAAAAATCTTATATATTTATTTAATATTTTATTTATAATATATTTAACTATAGAACTAGCCTTCACACACTTAGTCAACTTAGTTGTTAGTTATCGTAACGTTAGTAACATCAAAAATGTGTACAATAAAACCGATGACCGAGTTAAAGAGCGAAAAGGTTCAATTGCAAGAGCATGCACAGAAGAAGAAGAAGGGTGGTTGCATGTGTCGTTCAAAACCTGGTTTGTGGTGATAACTCAGTCGCGCGTCACAAAACAGCTTGTATTTTCGACGAGTGCTCTGAACTTTTCGCGAACGAGCTAGCTCGGCCTTCTTTCCACGATGTTGGCCACGCGTGTCAGCACCCGTTTCCTCTCTGTATGCATCTGGTAACAGTAACTGACCCAAAAAACTACTGCCGGTTGGTTTTCTTTTTTTCCTCCTTTTTTCTTTTTTTTTTCTAAATGCGTCGAGAATGAAAAAACGTGAATTTTTATTCTTTTAACAGGAGTTGCCGGGCTACTTCAAACCTTACCTACTGTGTTAGCTATTTTTATATCACCTAAAGAGTTACCCTGAATTTTTGATTAATTCTTTTTTCCTTTCTTTCTTCTTTTTTTCGTAAATAACTTTTCGTAATGTGATGTAGAGAGATATATAATACATTATTCAACCATCCCTCTCCCCATTTTGAAATATAATCATTGGAATTATATATTTGTTGGGAAATAATGTACTTGGGATTTAAAAAAAAAGTCTTTTTAAATATTACTTTCAATCCCTTTTCATATTACGCTTGACCATTATCAAATGGTCTGACCCTTATACGAGACCCTTTACAAAAACGATTCATGAATGAATATATAGTCAAGTAATGAAAGAATAATTTTCAAAATATATCTCGATGGAATATTAAATATGATTCCTTTCGCATAATATTTGTTTTACATTGAATGAGGGGAAAATAAACCAAAAAAATATCTATTAAAATATGTTACCTTTATCACAATTATAGGATTGTTCTCGAATAATTACCTACAAAATCTAATGAGATAATATTATTTTACCTACAATTGATATTAAACGATTGGATAAAATTGATTAAATTAACATCTTGATAAAAATCAATTCAAAATTCATTGCAACAAGATGGAATGCATTTACAACAACGTTCGAAAGATTAACGATTGAAAATAACGGTACATATATATATATATATATATATATATATATATATATGATCGTTAGATAATNTATATATATATATATATATATGATCGTTAGATAATAATGAATAGATAATAAGGAAACAGAGAGAGAAAAACATGTATGTATATATACATATACATGTGTGTGTGTGTTCGTAGGAACGAAAGATGTAATTAAAGTTGTGATTCCGTAATCATAGAACTGTTATACAAATCGTCAGACAGACGAAAGTCAACGTCATTCAATATGTCCTCAATTCTATAGTATTTCTATTATAGCACTTTAATACGTACAAGACTTGCCACTATGTGGCTAATTATCGACACGTTGTCAATGCAAAATCATCTTCTGTCGACTACAGGATTAAGACTAATTAAAAGACTAATTACCTTTACGTCAGATCCAACACGCGTATCCGTGATTTCATAGAAAATTCAACGCAAATAAAATGACGTTATCTATCTTGAATCATCTATTCCTGAGATTCATAAATTAAGGAGAATAATACAAAAAAAAAAAACAAATGGGAAAATAATTAAACCGCGCGTGAGTTTTTGTTCGTTAAATCAAATCCCAATTAAAAAAAAAAAAAAAAAAGAAACAAAAAGAAATATAAAGTTTAATCGGCTTAGCACGACGTTAGTGATCGGATTAAAAAAAAACTAACAATCGCAGACGGTAACAATTAGAATAATAATAATAATTATTATTATTATTATTATTATATCGTCGATAAAATCAAAAGATAATTTTGCTCGGAGATATAATAAAATCAAATAGGTAGATACGCGCGACGAGAGAATAGTTACGGAAATAATTAAATGAAAATCAACAATTGCCAATTATTATCACTAAAACATTCGGATTTGTCTCGAAATTTGCATGATATTATTACTAAACGATGAAGAAGATAGCTCATAGAAATGAAAATAGAAATAATACGAAAGTATTTGTATATTATAATTGTCCACTTGATTCTTCTCTCCTAATTTCATTTTGTTTTCGTTTGCCCCATTCGAAGTATTTAATATAAATGGAGATGAAAATAAGTTAACAAATAAAATGAAATATAATACTAATAATAATAAATATAAAAGGACGAGAGATAAAAGAAGAAAGAAAAAAAAGAATAAGGAATAAAAGGAAACGTTAGAAGAATAGAATCGAGAGGTAATGAAATTTATGCGAAAGATCGCATAGCTAGCTAGCTAGCTAGCTAGCTAGCATAGGTAGGTAGCTAGCTGTTGGGTTGGCACACGGATGGAATGATCGAGAATGAGAAGAGGAAGCTGAGAACGGGCGTTGTTGGCGACGCGGAGATGGCCCCCAGGGACAAACGCGCCATTTCGTCTGGCATGGTATGCGAACAATTCTGTCTGCCGCCTCATACGAGAGGCTTGTGGTTTCTCTTCCTTCATCCCCCAACCACCCGAGACCCCCCAAACCCCCTACCACCATCACGACTCACCTACCCTCCGCTACCACCACCCACTAAGCAGAAATACTCGCACATATGTGTGCTAGAGTGAGAGATAGAACATACACTGACCTGGAATACCACCGAGACCGATGGAAACTAATGTCAAAATACGAGTTTGGTAGTAGTAGGTTATGTATGTTGTGTGTGTGTGTGTGTGTGTTAGTGTGTGCCATCATCTCATCCTTCTAACGCGGCCATGACAATGAGCGATCGACTGCAAGCCGCGAATATGCGTCCACCACCATTTTAACAGAGCTTCAAGTGAAAATACTTTGGCTTAGGTTTACTTTACAAATCCTATGTTAATATTTCATATAAGCTAGATTTTCGTATTATTATTATTATTATTATTGTATATTATAATTATTGTTATAGTAAATTATTTGGTTGGGGTATCAAATGTTCGAGTTATGAAGGAATATCGATTGCAAGTTAAAATAGGTTACAAGAAGTCGAACGCGTATCAGAACGCGTTATTCATCTCGGTTGATTTGAAATATGTGGCGTGAAAAGTCGATTTCATTTTTTTCTTCTCTCTTTCGATAGTAATTTTTTCATAATTTCCAAAAACGTACAAATTTAATGAAACAGTTTTTGTTTCAACAATATCGTAATAAATTCGTGAAAAATTAGACCGAATTATATAGATCGTAATATTAGTTAGTATTTTAATACGATTTTGATATGATTAATGAAACAATAATTGATCTTAAGGTTAATTAAAACTAAAGCACAACTCGATTGAAATTTATATCTTCTTCTTCTTCTTCTTCTTTTTTCTTGTTCAGTTGCAGACTAATTAGCGAATTTAATATGAATGAAAATTCGGGATTTAAAATGAAAGAAGTAATTATTTATTCATCTCTCTTGTTTTCATTTTTTACACACACACACAGATATATTATTATATTATATATATCTATATGATAGATAAGATATAATCGTTCGAGTGCGTAATCATGCTTGCCCAAAGGATACACGTACACTGCTACAGGCATGGAACATCGTTACAAGGATGCTCGAAGAGTCTGATTAGTCCGAATAACAGAGAACGGACTGATTAGCGCGTCCCAGCTCGTAACCATCCCTAGGGCAATCTCAGATACTCCGTTCCCTCCCTTAATCCCTGGAGGAAGCGGCATTACACTCGCCTTAAAACCGAGCTATTAGCTGACTGAAGAAATAAAAGAAATAAAAAAAGTAAAAGAAATAGAAAAAGAAGAAGTAGAAGTAGGAAAAGAAAAAGAGGTCTTCGAAATTTTTCGTACTTTTGTTCTAAATTTACTTCGTCGATGATAATACGACTCCCGACCTCTATTCCTTTTTTTTATTTTCTTTTTTTCCCCAACGAATTCTCCAAACGAAAAAGATTTGAATGATGAAAGAAGAAGAAGAAGAAAATTGGGGAAAGAAATTTTCGTCGAAAAAGGGGAACGGAAAAAAAACAAAAGGAAAAGAATTTAATAGAACATATCTGACCGTATTATTATTATTATTATTATTATTATTTTTTATTCTTTCCTTTCCTTCCGTCATAATGAATTCCGTCTATTCATCAACGTTCTACGATCATCGTAATGTTTTCTTTTTCATCCTCCTTCTTTATTTTTTTAATAATTTTCTTTTCCAACGCATACTCGGAAAATACTCGGAGATGTGTATGTATATATATATATATATATGTGTGCTAAAGGAAGAATAAGAATAAGAAGAAAAAGAAAATGATAAAGAGAAATTTTATATACGAGGTGGGTAGGATAGGTGGTGGTAGCTCTCTTGTGATGCACAATTACGATAAGATAAAAGGGGTGCACACCTTCATCTCGAAAGGTTGACGCGAGAATTATGGATGAGATGAGTCGTGCCACGACTAGAACGTTTGTCACTGTCGGGATACCAACCAAACATACCCAGTTACATTTTAAACTTCATCGGTGTACCGAAGTCAACAAAGATAATATGCACTTTTCTATAGG